GGACACCAAAGCAAGCAGTACCCACCACTGAAAATGATTTAATCTGAGTAGGTGGCAACCAAATGTTTCTGAGATGGCCTGTTGTGATGTCAGTAGTGGAAGTTTACATTTAGAACTTTGATCTCATCACTGAACACATACAGGGCTTTTGTTTCAGAATTTTTACATACGTTGAAGAAAACAACAATGCAAATCTATATTTATGCAAATATGTTCAAATGTATCAACACCAAACAACCTTTGAATTTCTTTTCCTAAAGGGTGAACTTACAGATTCCTGAGAATATAATTGTAGAGAACAATTTGGAAACATGCTATATTAAGAAGTTAATAAATATTCAACATATTTATAATTAAGTAAGTGGATGGCAGCTAGTGGGAGCCAGGTTTCTCACTGTTGGAAAGGGAGCTTATAGATAAGCAAGGAGAGAAGGCTATAATGATCCATATGGTAATGGGTTTAAGTTGGGAACATCAGGATGGATTTGTGTTTAGATTAATAAATATACAGATGGTTATATGCATATGGACATATTTATAGATATGTGTCTATATACAGGTTAGAGTACACACACCTTTCCTTTCTTTGTTGTCTGAGAGAGACCAAAGCAATGACACCCCTGGAGCCTAGCTCTTGATTTATAATACTATTCTCAAAAAAATAAAAATAAAAATGGAGAAGTAGCTGAATCTGGCTATGACTAGGGCTGATTCAGCTATTTCTGACATTGTTAGTACTTGGGAATGTTGATGATTGTCTTATGTAATTACTTATGTTGTTTTGTAAAAGTATCCCATAATATCACTCTAAGTAAGATTCTGACAGCGTGTCCTTTTAGTTGTTGAAATGCTTATTGAACAATGTCAAGTGGTTGGTTTTCAGGATAAATTCCAACATTCCAAGTCATACATGTCTTTCAAGTGAGATTCTAGTTCCAAAAATGACTCTCTAGCTTCTATTTAAAGACAAGAAGATAAAAGTCAAGAAAAGCCTGGAATATCTCACAGTGCCAGGAAATAATGAGATTTAAAAACAAAACAAAACAAAAACAATGGTAAAGGTATTTTAAAGGGACATACGAATCAATTAGAAGTGTTCCCAATAGTCAAATCTGGAACAATTTGAGCAAAACAAAGTAAATAAAGTAATATTGGATTATAATGAAACTATAAAATAAATATTCTTGCATATATATTAATGTAAATAAATAATTTCATAAATAAATGGGGGTTAAGAAACAGAAAATTTCCAAATAAGTTATGTAGATACTTCTACCCACTGCTTAACTGAAAGCTGTACATAGAGACTTCATTATGAAGTGTATAGTGTCTGAAAGGGAGGAAAATAGAGTAACCTTACAGTGAAAAAACCTGACAAACACTACCTGTGCCAGGTGACCAAAATCAGCATCAACCATGATTGGTCATGTTGATAATAGATATCTTATGCGATAAAAATGATACTTTACCTCAGTGGTCCTTCTTCCAAAAACACATAACCTCATTCTAATCATGGAAAACATTAGACAAATACCAATTAAGGGACATTGTAATATAGCTGACCAATACCACTCAAAACTGTGATAGTCACCAAAAAAAGAAAAGTTTGAGACACTGACATAGCTAAGATGGCCTAAGGAGACATGATGACTAAATGCAATGTATTATTATCTGGATGGGTTTTGGGAGAGAAAAAGGACATTAGATAAAAACTAAGAAAATCTAAATAAAGTATGAAGTTTATAATAAAATACTTAGAAATAAACTTAACTAAGAAGGTGAAAGACCTGTAGACTGAAAACTACCAAACATTGATGAAGGAAATCAAAGAAAACACAAAATGCCAATCATACCTCAATAAAGCTGCAAAAAGAAGACACACACAAAATTAAAATATATCCCATGTCCATGAATTAGAAGACAGTATTGTTACCCAAAGCAATCTACAGATTCAATGCAATCCCTATCAATGCAATTGACCTGTAGATTAATTAAATGTATAGTTGTGTATATGGAGAGCTATAGTGATGGCCTGCTCTCCACATATCAGTAATTGTTGGTTTTAATAATCAAGACTCAGCTTCTGTGATACAGTGTCTAATATATGTGGCATGCACAGATATAATGAAAAAGTTATAGCATTTGCAAGCAGACAGACCTGGGTTCAAATCTCTCCCTTGTGACTGAATAGTACAACCTGTTCAAACCCCAAACCACATTTCCCCTTCTGTAAAAAGGGGATGATAACATGGCAGCTTATTTGCTTTTTTTTATAAGAATCAGACCACATAGAGACACACACAATACATATATCTTCTAAAATAATAAAAGGGTAATATGCAAATAGACCAAACAACTGAACAGTATAACAACTGTCCAGACGACCTTCCAGACAACCATGCTATGACACTCACTGGTGCCAGGCCAGCCAAGGTGGGTGCAATGCGATTGGTTGGGGGCCCGGTCTTTGCCCCATGATCCCCCTGCAGAGGGAGGCCCAGGCTACCGGCTAGCAGGGCAATCAATTGGGGGTCTCCACAGTTGCCCCAAAGAGAGAGGCCCTGGCCACCGCCCAGTGGGCTGAGGCATGTGGGCGGGCCTCCCTCTGCGGGGGCAATCCATTGAGGAGCCCCGGCCAGGTGGGTGATCGATCGCGGGGCTCCAGGACTGTGAGAGGGCACAGGCTGGGCTGAGGGACACTCCCCTCCCCAGTGCACGAATTTCATGCACTGGGTCTCTAGTCCTATGTAATATAAGTGTAATATGCAAATTGACCCTAACAGCAGAATGACCAGGAACGACCAGTTGCTATGATGCGCACTGACCACCAGGGGACAGACAGACAACGCAGGAGCTGCCCCCTGGTGGCCAGTGCATTCCCACAGGGTGAGCTCCGCTCAGCCACAAGCCGGGCTGACAGTTATGAGCGCAGCAGCGGTGACAGGAGTCTCTCCCGCCTCCTCGGCAGTGCTAAGAATGTCCAACTGATGGCTTAGGCCCAGGGAACAGGCCTAAGCCGGCAAGTGGACATCCCCTGATGGGTCCTGGACTGCGAGAGGGCACAGACCAGGCTGAGGGACCCCCTTGAGTGCACAAATTTTCATGCACCGGGCCTCTAGTAGATACATAAAGAGAAAGAAGGAAGGCTAGATAGATAGATAGATAGACAGACAGACAGATAACTGATAGACAGATGATAGGTAGAATGTAAGTAGAACATTATAAATGCTCAAGAAACAGGTTTTGATACTGTTATGATTCATGAGGTTCTCTTGAGGCTTCGTTAATTACCTACTGACATACTTTAGCTCTGATTTCTTCCATGATCTATCACAAAAGACCAGCCTGTGAGTATGCACAAAGCTGGGTTTTGGTAAATATTATATACTTCCTCCATGCCTCCTATGAGGTAGAGGATCTTAAAATTTCTCAGGCAACTCAATGAGCCAGCCTTTGCAATTACCCACCAGTGTGAGGCCACCTCCATTTTGAGCCACAGAACCACTAGCCATGGATGAGCACTTGAATTCCTTGATAGGAAGTTTCTATTCATAATAAAATGGTAACAGCCTGGAAGGGATACCAGGTCTTAATATCAGGAAAACTTTGGGCATCTTTGCAGCCCAAAAGGCTAACAAATGATGGGCATGATGTGGGGTATTAGAATGAAGCAAATCCTAGAGCGCCTCTGCTGGCAGCATTTCTCATAGTTCTAGGGGCCACAATTCAAGAAAGGTAAAATGGACCTGGAAAATGTGCAAAAAAATTAAGAATTTAAATGATCAAGAGAAAACAGGGATTTGAGATCAGAACTCATTAGTCACTGTATCCAAAATAATTTTATTTTTAAAGCATTCATCTCTGAGTTAATCCCCGAAATAGATTCCAGGGGCCATCACTGTAGTGAGGTTCAAATAATAGAGTAAAAATGCACTTATTAATGACAAGAAATAGATTCCAGGGGCCATCACTGTAGTGAGATGCCATTAGATGTTCAAATAATAGAGTAAAAATGCACTTATTAATGACACATATGTATGCTCTATGTATCAGGTTATTTCCAGGTACACAGAAACCTTTATGGATTTTTTTAATCGCCATGCTTCTTAATTCCAATTTAACTGTGTGGTCACATTGAAGACACTTAATTACTATGTTTCTACTCAACAGGACTGTATTCCTTAATTGCACAAGTGGTCTATTAATAGACTCTTATAAACAGAATTTCTACTGACTTCCATTAACGTTGAATATTTATTTTCACTGTAACTAAATACTATAAAATATTAAAAAGAACACCATGTAAGAAATGCAAAGACATTTGTTTCTTTGCAGATATCAGCATACATGATGAGTTGTACATAAATAGCTTTGTCTCCAGAGAGTTACCTTCTTCGCTTCGCCCTTATGGTATGTATGTAATACAAGCTGTGTACTTTGGGGCTTTTGGGAAATATTTCATTTTTCAGTATTATTTCACTCCTGTTTTTCCTACACAAGGCAAAGAAATGTGAGCTTTCAGCCGACATGACATCAGCATCACACATATGGGTATGATATCATTTATGATTTTTGTCAAAGAGCTTAGGAAACCATTCTTAAAGTTCTGTTCTCAAAGATCGGTTTGCTAAGGTATGCTTTTTAAAATTAAATTTATTGGGGTGACGTTGGTTTATGAAATTATATTGGTTTCAAGTGTATAAGTCTATGATGCATCATCTATAGATTGTATTGTGTGTCTAAGGTAGGTTTCTTAAAGACCAAACACTTGAAGCATCTAGCTTTGCTGAAGCTTATTCCACAGGGAGAGGAAAGGGGTGGAGAGCATGGTGTTCTGGAAAAAGCTGACTGCTAAGAAAAAGCCCTTAACTCCTTGAACTTCGCACCTTAGACTATTTTTAGTTCTTTGACATGGCTGGTTATCATTAGGACATACAGTCCTTCGAGAAATAAGTTGCAGACCTAATAACTAAGCAGAGTACAGGGAAGGAGGTCAGTGAGAAGGGAGGAAGGACTTTTCTATCTTCCTATTTACTCACTCTTCAGCATTCCTTGATTGCCTACCCTGTAGGCACTTCGCTAGATACTGGAAACACACTGTAAGTTTTATAAGATTCGTTTCCTTCACATTAACTATAATAAAGTAATAGTGAAATTCTGCTTTGTAATGTTTAATTTTTAATCATCAGATTTCCCTAAATCTTCTCTGGCAATGTTATCATTATTTTCTTGTACTATCGCTATTTTTACATTTGACCCATTATTATCATTATATTATTTTTCTTATGGAGAATCTGAACAGCAGAGTTCAAGGGGATAGATTCCGGACCATATTGCCCACATTATAATCCCAGCTCTGTCACCAGTTACTAACCATTCTGTGCCTGAGTTTCCTCACCACACACACACATACACACACAGAGGTAAAATCAGGACCGCTTTAGTTCATAGGAGAATTACTCTAATTATAATTGTTTAAAAAAAATAGAACAAAACACAGTTTGGAAGAGTGCCTGGCATGTAACAAGCCCTGTTTGGTGTTTATATCGTTAGTAAATAATAACTATAACTGGTGATAGATGAGGAAACTGAAGCTCATTTGGGTGAAGTGACTTGAAATGCTCAGAGTTGACATTCAAAGCCGGTGCTCACAGTCTTCGCTCACTTTGAAGTCTTATTAAGTAAAGGAAATAGAGGCATTGAAACAAAGGGAGCCGCAGTATGTGGCACCTTCCTTTGTTAGTGCTTTTCTATCAAATTTGCATTTCTATTTAAAATGCTTTTAAAGGAGACATATATAATACTCTTTATAATACTTTAAGCAATAAAACAAAATTTAAAAATAAAATAAAAGGGAAGCACAGAAAAAAAAATGCTTTTACAAATGAAGCTCAAAATGTGGGGGGGAAAAATCAAGGGACTCAGGCATATATGATTTACTAAAAATTTCAAAAATGGACAATAGATAAATTTCACACAGCTCTCCATTCCTCTGCTTCTATTTCTATCACCATGTCCGCTGCCTTCTCAGAAAGCCCGGCTGGCTCTTCTTGGCCCAGAGTGAAGTCTGGAACGCTTAGTGACATTCAGGGTCTTTCAGTCTGACACCATCCAAACTTCCCTACCTCTCCTACCACAGCTCTCACAGATCCTGTGATATGTCACTTCCCCAAACTTCTCACACATTTCCCCACGCCTCTGCCTTTCCCCAGGTACCTCAGCCCACTTCCTCCCTGCACAGTCCTGGTCCCTTCCCACCACCCACATGCTTAGCAGAATCCCAGCATTCCCTTAAATGCGGTTGAAATGTTGGCTTACTGAGGACTTTTCCTCAAACGCTCGCTCATTCAGATTCAAGTGTGTCTTCTTTGCATTTTCATATGCTTTGCTTACACAAACACAGTAACACTTCGCTTGCCCTCCCTTGTGGATAATTTGCATTCTGCTTTTCCCGATGGTCACAGCAGAAGCATCTGCGCTGTGCTTATAAGCCCTCTAAGACTCCTGGAACACGGCTACAGGATGTTACATCGAGGAGGCAGGCCATCACTTGCTCCACCATTTCATTGATGCTGAACACTTAGATTTCCATTTTTTCACTATTATAATCAATGCTGCAATAACCATGTCATAAACAGTCTCTTCATGACTTTTGCAAATCTCTTAGAGACTCTTTGAAAATTAATCTGTGTGAGCTCTTTGTTGTATTTGCAGTGAGTCATTATCCCTGTTTGTCTCTCACCTTTCCAGGTGGTCATTTGTTTGATGGGCTTATTTTTCCAAAACATAATACTTCATAAAATGACCACTCTCTCACTGCCTCAAACTATATCTTTTATCTCTCTCACACACACATAAAAATTGTTTTGTTTTTGTCTTCCTTTTTTACTTTATAGCGCTATTGTGGAATAAAATAATTGTGACGTGCTTTGAAATGGTACAAAGAATTGTTACAACCCCCAAAGATAATGTTAATAATTTAAGATAGCAAAATATTTTAATTCTTGTCCCTGCCCCAGTTTATTTCTTTCACTTTATCTATAGGGAAAGAAGCATATATCTTAAAATGTATTTTCTCATTGGCTTCTTAAATTTTTCTTGAAAAATAGGTCAAATGAACAGGGGGCCAGGGGGGAAATTTTGCCTTTGTATTTGAGAAAATTATGCTGTACTTCTTTAAACACTCAAATTTCCAAGTTATTTTTCTTAATATTTACTCAGCAATATTTCACTGCTCCCACTTAATTGTATAATGCAAAATGGGAAATATCTGTTTACGAATCAGTTATTTATTTATAGTTTTGTTGCTTTTAACGAAGCCTTTGAATCTAGGCCACACAGAGTTTTGTAGTGAAGTCACTTTATATTTCTTGAAGAAACTTCTTTGTTAAAAAATCTATTCAGATGTGTTTTCAGAAGTTAAATACTAGAAAAGTAAAAAAAAAATTAAAAAAAAAAATTTTTTTCTAAAAATATAATCTGTGCCAGAGACCAAGTTGCAAAGTATCCAGAAAGTTTTTGACTGTTAGTAAATATTCCAGTGACATTTAGATTAAACAAGTTACCAGAAAGAAGATAACAATGACATGATACTTAGGTAGGGGGAATAAGGATAAATAGAATATAGCTTCTAAGAAACCTATAATAAGAAAAAAATATTTAAAATGTCAAGGAGAAACAGAAAACAGAAAGTCAAAAACCTCAAGGCAAAAAGGGTCTTTCCCTTAATGCTTGTATATAGAAAGCAAGCTCTTGGGTTTCTCTGTTAGAGGAAGAATAAAGTAAATTAAAAAAATTTTTAAATCTGTAACAGAAAAAATAACCTGAATAAATTGTTCGTTGCCTGGACATGCTAACAGGGAGGTGGGAAGCTTCACCTAAGACAAGAAAGATATACAGCAGCTAAATTTATTCAATCTTTGTGGGAAAATAGATCTAGACTAACCAGTATTTACAAAACATAAGCATTACAGTACCTGAGTTCTTTTATTTCTTTATATCAAACTCTAATTTGGGTTTCATCTTTTAAAAAATATACTGAGTAAGTAATTTTAGCGAAGACAATATTTCTATTTTAACAAAGTACTATTTTATAGACAATCAACAGCAATTAAAAATACGTGCTATAATTTTGACTCAAGTAATTTGCATGCCTAAATAATCCTGCCTGTTTGAACATAATACTTAACATGGCAACATCATCCACATGATTTTAGTTGACTATATTGCTGGCTTAGGAGGAAATATATTCAAAAGTGGTGGCCATGATCATTTGAACCAACGAGAAATGGCAAACATTACAAATTCCGTAAGTCACTTGCTTCAGTGGACCTTATTTGTGATCCATCCTCTCAAGAAAAAAAAATCAGCTTCTTAAAGAACATGTGTGTGCAGACATTTGCTAAAAGATCCATCCTAGTCAGAGGGAAATGGAAGCAACTCCAAGTTTCCAACCAGGATTTTAGAAATCAAGTAGGCACCATCAGGTGGCAATTGGGTAACCATATGAGTAGAGTCTCTAGCGTCCACATTCTCTTAGACATATGTCATATGACACCGACTTGGCATTGCAGATACGATTATGCTTATGTATTTGATATGAAATGGGCTGATTTTACTGGGCCGCATCTCTTCATCCATGCAGAATTCCCACTGAAGTGAAGAACCCTTCTGTTTACCATTGAAGTTTATCATCATTCTGTTTGTCATAATGAAGTCAATGGGAGCTCTGTGCACACAGGAATGAAGCAGCCAGCAAAATCAAGCCCTAAATACTAGAAATCTGGAGAGAGGCCAGTGAGGAACTGGCATGAAAACGTAATCACCATCTTGCCTTTACAGCTGGTCTCTTGAAATGGAATGGGAGCCTGCGGGAGGAGGGCACTCAGCAGAGATGGTGCCTCTGCTGGGCACTCAGACAGGGCAAACAGACAACTGGAGCCAGGGAGCCGTCAATCTGCTGCAGGATCCATGGGCCCACCTTCATCAACCCTTTATGAAATGAATTAGCCCAAGTGGAAATTGAAGTGCAAAGTTATCTTGGAGGGGAAAAAAATGTGCATCTTGTAAAGAAAGGGTACGTTCAATAATTCAAAAGGAAACAGTGGCTGAAGAGATGATCTTAGCCACATTACATCATGACATCCCCTCCAACCCACCCACACCCACCACAAACACTCATTTTCTGAAGGGCAAGATTGTCTCAAGGTCTTATCGACACTAACTGCATTACCAAAGCACAGAGAACACAATCAGATCTCTCCCCTTCATAATGTAGATGTTGTCTTTTTAAAGCAAGCTTGATTATATTCTGAATAGGTCAGTCTGTGTGCCTGACATTTCTCCTCAGTTTCCTGTGACCTTTTAATAAGAATGACTTGGTTTTTGCACTGTAGAAAATGGAACTGTCCCTTTTCAATCAGTGACTATGAGAAGCACAGTTTGAACATATCACATTTTCTGTACGGCATTATTCCTCCTAGGACAACAAAGTAAATGAAACCCAATCATTCTATAAAAACATGTGTCCTGTTTGGCTTTAATTTTACCTCTTTCTGCTGCTCATTCACATACATTTGTAAATATTTAAACAAATGTGCAGTCACATTTGCTCAGGGAAAGTAACAAATTAATAAAGTCTCTGTTGAACCAATCTGACTTTCATAATGTATGCTTAACCAGATGTCATCTTTGAATAGCCTTGCAAAGAATTATTAACATGGACCTTCCATGGTTATAGAGAGACAATTATCAGCCGTAATCCAATTTCTAAATTTCAAAGATGTTCCTCTTTATTAGGTTCCAGCAACAGAGGATTCAACCAGACAGACCATCCGTGCCTGGACGAACATGAGAATGGTCTCCTCCCAACTGGAAAGGCTGTTACTGCCATGCCACAGGGACCAGCCTCCCAATTTCCCACAGGAATACTGGTCAGTCTGGGAAACTCCCGGTAGGTATCCATTTGCACAGCCCTAGGAACACAGGGTCAGATTCACAGGTCTGAGCTTTATTCCCACAACTGGACTGGGTTTCCTGATATAGAAATTATACATGGCTACCTAAAGGAAGGTAAACTCAGGAATGAAACTCACTTTGTATATAATACAGGCAGGGAGCACCAGCCATCAAAAGATTTCTGAGAAGCTGAACTGGAAAGTGAGTCAGAAGCATGTATGTAGCACTCACGGTGGCAATACATGTGTGATGCACTGGGTTCTACTCTTCAGGACTCCACACAAGAATGGCCCCTGTCTTCATGGAGGCAGGAGGAGAAGTAGATGATCAGCAAGCCAGTGAAGACATTAATGTATGTGTGTATATATATATGCCTAAGCGACCATTTGACCGTTCAACTGTTCAACCAGTAGCTATGTTGCGCACTGACCACCAGGGGGCAGACACTCAATGCACAGGCATGGAAACATGGTACAGACTGATGAATCTCAGAGGGAAGAGGGGAGGGGAGAGGGCGGGAAGAGATTACCAGCGGTGGGCAAACTTTTTGACTCGAGGGCCACAATGGGTTCTTAAACTGGACTGGAGGGCCGGAACAAAAGCATGGATGGAGTGTTTGTGTGAACTAATATAAATTCAAAGTAAACATCATTACATAAAAGGGTACGGTCTTTTTTTTTTTTAGTTTTATTCATTTCAAACGGGCCGGATCCGGCCCACGGGCCGTAGTTTGCCCACGGCTGGATTAACCAAAGATCTTATATGCATACTAGAGGCCTGGTGCATAGATCCATGCACCGGTGGGGTCCTTCAGCCTTGCCTGCAGGGATCAGACCGAAACCAGAAGTCTGATGTCCCCCAAGGGGTCCTGGATTAAGAGAGGGCGCAGGCCAGGCCAAGGGACCCCACTGGTGCACCAGGCCTCTAGTAACAATATAATTGCAAATTGGGGTACATGAGGGAAAGAATATATCTACAATAGGCTAGTGGAAAAAAATAATCTAAATCAGGAGTTAAACTTTAGTAAAGGGCAAGATAGTAAATATTTTATGCTTTCTATGTCACCTTTGATCTGTGCTACAAATTTTTATAATCCATTAAATACATAAAAAATTATTTTTGCTTCGTTCAAAGAATGGCTGGGTGGCAGGGGTAAAGGGATGGGAAGGGGGACATCTGTAATATTGTCAACAATAAAAAGATATACATTTTTTTTAAGCAAGACAAAGGCCAAAGCTAGCCTGTGGGCTATAGTTTGCCTACCTCTGATGGCATAAGAGAAAGGTCAGAGCTCCAGAATAATTATGCATAAGTGTTCAAGGTGGAAAATCAAGGCCAGCAACAGAGAGATATGAGACTAGGGAGGTGGGCTGGGCTCAGCAGTCTCAGTGAGAAGTTTAAACATTATTTTAAAAGCAGTAGAAAGCCACCAAAGAGGTGTTGACCAAAAGCAATGGTGTGATCCAATTTATTTAAAAGGCCTGTTTGCCCGAGTGTGGAAAATTTGCATCAGTGTTTTGCCAGCCTGGTACCAGAGAACTCTGTGA